AGCTGCAGGAGACGCCCGAGGTCAGCACGGGGCTTGACTCCCTGCAAGGGTACGAGCTGTACGACCTCGTCATGCTCGGCCCGAACGAGGTCGGCGTTGTGACCAGGGTCAACCGGGAGGTGAGAGAGAGATAGAAGAAGAAACGCGGCCACTTTGTTCGAGTTGGTGTTCACGCGAAACCGAATAGTTGGTCGGTCATGCGTCGTTTGTGTGGATGTTTCACCGGGTATTCGTTGTTTTTTTCACCCCTTTTGGAGTAACAATGAAAAGAAAAAAAGAAGCTGAAACACAAGGAGTCCAGCTCTACAATATGTCCACAGACAAGAGTCAAGGATACCCAATGAAATATGTTAGCTATGAATCCATAGCGTCAGCTGAGTCACTTGCAGTAATCAATCGATGCCGTCAGCGGAATCACTTTTTCTTTTTTCTTTTTTGTGCCATGGTTCATGTTTGTTTGTTTTTTTGCTGGCGTGCAGGACCTGGAAGTGGTTAACAATTCCGGGAACGTGAAGCGAGTGCGTCCTCAGGAGATCCGGGGCAAGAGGAACTCGCAAAGCCGCAGGGCTTTCGTCGTGGACACTCAGCAGAACCAGCTAGAGGTACAGTATAGCCGTGACTTTTCGGGTGGTACGTGAGGGTGTGCTTTTAGGCTGCATGTAGTGGCGCCTTTGCTGCAGGTCCTACTGCTTCGTTTGACCACTCACTCTGATGGATTCGTGTTGCCCCATGGCCTGTGGGACTTGTGTGCGTTGCCCAGTAATCAAAAAGTCTTCCTGTTTATTCCCAACAGTTTTTGGCATTTCTTGCGAAAGCGTTCTTCGCGCGCAACACATCCCCGTGGAAATAGCGCCAGTTCTTTCAACTGTGGGCGTCAAGCACACGCGCCACGGGCGGCTGGCGGTCCTCGGGCGTGCGCGTTTATGTAACGACGGTGCCCCTGCGTGCTGCGTGCCCCGGAGAAGGAAGCGTGACAGAAGACTCGCTTCCGCCGGCGAAATATGTCCGGAAGCACGAAAACAGTCAAATGGTGCAAATACTTGTTATCATGTGATGGCAGAAATATCTGAACGGAACGAAAAACGAAGGATACACGTTGTTGTGTTCATGTGTGTACACATCTCATTGGTCAGCGGGGTGCCGCGGTCGATGATGCCAATAGCAAAGGTGCTCACGCACCCCCTGCGTTCTTCTTTTTTTTTTATTCACTTCACCCCAAGGTGGACAACGTGGTGGAGGTGGTGGAAGGCCAGCACGCCGGGTCTAAGGGCACCATCAAGCACATCGACCGCACCACCCTCTTCCTACACTCCAGGACGCACACGCAGAACGCCGGCATCTTCCCGGTCCGGGCTAGGAGCGCGCTTCTGGCGGGGAGGATGAACAGGGGGCAGGTGTGTTCGTCTTGTCTGTTGTGTGACTGACTGCAGGTAAGGGTTGGTTGTTAACTGTTTCTAGTTTCTTGCGACAGGAAATATTGAACAGGGGGCAGGTGTGTTCGTCTTGTCTGTTGTGTGGCTACCGGAAAAAAGGGTCCATTATTCATATCATTCAACAACCGTTTCTACGTTCTTGTGACAGGAGTGATTGAACAGGGGGCAGGTGTGTTCGTCCCGTCTAGTGTGTGACTGACTGCAGGTAAGGGTTGGTTGTTAACTGTTTCCAGTTTCTTGCGACAGGAAATATTGAACGGGGGGCAGGCGTGTTCGTCTTGTCTGTATTGTGTGGCTACGGCAAAAGGGTCGATTCAAATGTTTCTTGTTTCTTGTGACTGGAGTTATTGAACAGGGGGCAGGTGTGTTCGTCTTGTCTGTATTGTGTGGCTACGGCAAAAGGGTCGATTCAACTGTTTCTTGTTTCTTGTGACTGGAGTTATTGAACAGGGGGCAGGTGTGTTCGTCTTGCCTATTGTGTGGCTACGGTGAGGGTCGGTTGTTCAACCATTTCTACATTTTTTGTGGCAGAAAATGATGCAAATTTCGCGTGGTGACCAGGGAGCGGCACGAAGTCTTTCATTGTGTGATACAGCAGTGGCGTCGATATATATATGTGCACCGGGCTCTTGATTTTATTGTGCTTGTGGTATTTTGCGTATGCGTCCGTTGTGTCTACTGCTGTGAGGCTTTTGATTTTGCGTTGGTCGTACGTATGCGTACTGTACGTTGTCGCGGAGAGGATGAACCCGGGGCAGGTGTGTGCATGCGTAGGATGCCGCACCCCCTGGGCCGAACTTCACAACCCGGTGCCTGCGCAGCAAGAACGGTCACGGTGCCGAAAAATAGTGAGGCGCTGGAACCCTCCCGCCGAGAGCTTTCGAAAATGTTTTTTTTTTTTTTGACTTGGCATCTGGGGGTATTCGAGCTTTCAAATCTGGAACCCTCCCGCCGAGAGCTTTCGAAAATGTGTTGTTTTTTGACTTGGCGTCTGTGGGTATTCGAGCTTTAAAATGGGTCCAGGGGCGTGTGGCCTCTTGTGTCATGTCACCTACGGCAGTCTCCTGTGTGGTAATCGTCGATAGTAGACACGGGCTTTTGGTTTTGGGTGGCCGCATGTATGCTACGTCACTGTTTGTCGTGGTCGTGTTTGCTTTGCAGTCGCTGCTGCTGCTGCTGCTGCTGCTGCTGCTGCTGCTGCTGCTGCTGCTGCTTTACGGGAAGCTTCTTTTCAGTGAAGCGGCGCAAATGTTGCACTTCTGATGGATAAGATGTGGTTGATTGGCAGACGATAACTCTATCTCTAAACATTTTTTTTTTTTTTAACTGTTGTCGACAGGCGGCGGTGGGATACATGGGCGAGATCAACGCGTCGGCGAAGAACGACATCGTGAAGGACTTCAGGAACCGGAACGACGAGATGCTCGCCAAGACTGTCAAGGTGATGTACATACCCATGCATACGCATCAGCGCCCCCACTTACAAGCGTTGCAGTTAAAGAAGTCCATGCTCACTTGAGAGCTTTGCAGTTAAAGAAGTTCATGCTCAACATTATGTCGAGCATTAAGCACTACAAGTTCTGGGCCCTGTACAGCAGTGCCGGTACATGTGTGTCCCGAGATTTTTCCGGCACTATTCCGGACACCGGCAGTATTCAGAGCACAGAACGACCTGGTGATTCAGTGTTTGCAAGCCGAAAACTGTACAGGTCCCACTGCTGTACTGACGGGCGGCTGGGCTTAATAACCCACCTATATATGTAGCGGCAATTTGTCGCACGCAAGAGGAACTACTGCTGTAAGAACCCCCACCCTCGAACAAAACTAAAATAGAGGTTCTGAAGGGCGGGCGGCTTATGTATCTACTTGTATCTATTTTCTCGCTGTCGACCTACCTACCTACCTGCCTGCCTGCCGTTGCGTGGAACCGCAGTAGAACCCAGGTCTCGAGGCAGTGAGTGATTTTGGGTGTTCCTTCCCCCTGGCTGTCGGAGGTTGAGGCCTGTCAAGGACCCTCACAGATTGGCTGCTGATAGGCTGTGCTGCGGCTTGCGTTTCGGGTTTGCGGCTCTTTTGGCCTGTTTCTTTCTTTCGGTGTTGTCTCGCTGTTCTTGTCTGCTTCTTCATTGTTTTGGTTGCGCTCTTGTGTTTTTTTTTTCGTCGTCATGAATTGCTATGGTGCTTTGACTCAGTGGTTGCTGTGGTGTTGGAATGTATAATACTATAGCACCACATTACGAAGAATTTATTTTGATTGTTCATTCCCTTGAATGATCGATGAACGATCGATGAAGGTGATCAGAGGGCAGCACAAGGGTCTGATGGGTCAGGTCGTGGAAGCTACCGACACACACGTGAAGGTGGAGCTGCACTCCAAGCTCAAGAAGGTCACCATCTCCAGGAGCCAGGTCTGCTATTTATTTGCTTTTTTTTTTTCTCACGATAAATAATAGTTAAGAAGGCTGGACCCCTTCTCCAGTCCAAGCCCCCTCCCGCCCCCCTCCATTTTTTCGGGGGACCCCGTGGTCTAGAATGACTTTTAGACACTGAAACTCTTTTTATTTCGTTGGCAAGCCTGCTGGTGCGGCGATCGATGCTATTTTTAAGAACACGGAACACGAAGGGAGAAAGAGAGACAGAGAGAGAGAGAGAGAGAGAGAGAGAGAGAGAGAGAGAGAGGGAGAGAGAGAGAGGGAGAGGAGTCGTGGTAGAAATTGTTTGCCGTGGCGACAGGTGGTGGTTTGTGACAGCGCTCTCGCTTCGCTTCCCGTGGTGCGTGTTTTGTTTTCCTCTTTTCTGCACATGCGGAGTTTTGTTTTGTGTCATCATGAACCCGCTGTAAGAAGAATGTATTATCTTCATTCAGGTACGCATGATTGCTTGGGAATCGTTGAACATGCCTTTTTTTTTTTTTTGAATCACCATGAACCCGCTATCTGGGGAACAAAAATAGTAACGCACTACCTGTACAACACATACTTGCGTGGCAATTCGTTACAGGTCAAGATTGTGGGCGACCAGACGGGCGCGTACGCGGGGAACCAGTTCCAGAAGCCCGTCATCGGAGAGGTACCCGGGACGCCCTACACCATGCAGGTCTGTCCGCAAATTCTACCCTTTTTCTGTTGTTAGGAAATTGACGTAAAAATCACAGAAATACTACAATACCCGTTCGACATATTGGGCTTTCTTTTTTGCTTTCGGGGAACTGAGGCTCGTGTTTGACCTTGTGATGTGGTC